ACTATCCACTCAAGATGTATATAATCTTCATTGAAGAAACAGCCTTGCCTGATGTTAATCTATTTCCTTTTGTAAGGATTACTATAGTGATAAATTGACTGGTAAGGCCTGGGCTTCCATATCTTGCAACTAATTTTTAGTAGGAGAAAATTTTTGTCCCAAATCAAGTCAATAAAAATCCTGCTTTGCTCTTGTTTTTTTTTTTTTGGGGGGGGGGGGATAAAGCAATACCACTTAGACTTTTGTACTGCTTCACAGTGCTTTACAGCCCTCTCCAAGCCGTTTACTGTTTAGAGACAGCATATTGCCCTCAACAATCTCATTTCTCATTTTACCGACCTCGGAAGGATAGAAGGCTGAATCAATCTTGAGCCGGTCAGGATCAAACTGCCGAACTGGCAGTCAGGAGTCGGCAGAATTAGCCTGCAATACTGTATTCTAACCACTGCTCTACCACGGCTGTTTATAACTTTACAGGTGGCTCAGGGACCCAAGTACAGTGATGTTTTACAGACTCTACTTTGGCCATCCTATTAGTAGAAGATAGTTCTTTCAGTGCAGATATAAGTAAGGCAGAATAGTGTTGATTCATTAGGACTTAGGTACGCCCTTATTTCATTAGAGTTTCTTGATTATAATATAAAAGTGTAAATGTAAGAATGCAAATTGCTTGTATTAAGAATGAGTTCCAAATAAAATAAATTGTGACCATTTGTTAATTGTATACTAATTAGGAGCTGTTATTCCTAATCACTGTCCAAAGCAGAACTGTGTTCTAGAAAATCAAGTCTGCCAGCTCAAATGTTCTTACAAATTTGAAGTGTTATTATTTCTTTTTTTAAATTAGTATTTTAAAAAAATACCAAAAAGGAAGGATTTCTCTAAGAGCAACCATTAAGTAAGATGCAAATAGGGGAGTAGAATGTAGGTCTGCTATAGGCTATACTAGGTTATTTTAAAAATCCAATGTCTATATAGTTTTACTAATTATAGTTCAGAGGGAAACCAAATCCTGTTCTCTAAAACAGGATGCTCTAAATGTCCAGGAGAAACAGCATTAATTCATTGATCAGATAGAAAATACCATTGGTCTATAAGAAAAATGGTTTTCATAATGATTACTCTAAAACAATTAACTAATAAGACATCCTAAATTTTTAGATTCAATTTTCTATGTGAAGAAAGCATATCTTGAAACACAAAAGCATTTTGCATGAAGGTAAATTGTTAAATTTTGATGTGAAGATAGCCAATAGTTTTCCATTTCAATCAATGGCTTTTGATAGGTGTAATGATGATTTATTACAAAATAATTAATGTAAAGGTTGGAAGGGACCTTGGAGACCATCCTGTCCAACCCCCTGCCTTGCAGGAATTCATTATTATAGAATCTCTGACAGGTGGCAGTTCAGCGTAAACAAATACTTCCAGTGGGCTTTCACCACTTCCCATGGTGGTTGAACTTCTTTACCATTGGGATATTTTTTCTGATGTCATCCAGTAATCTTTCCTCATAAATGTGAAGCCATTGTTTCTTGTCCTGTCTTCTAGAACTACTCTGAATAATTATGCACAGACTTCTGTAGGATACTCTTCCAGATATGCGAAGACAGTGACTGTCTGTTCCAATACCTTGTTTTCTGTAACTGAAATATACTCAGCATGTTCAATCATTATTCATACATTTTTTCCTTCCCAGCCCCTTATAATTTTTATTTCTCTTTTCTGGACATGGTACAATTTGCCACTATCCTTCCTGAAATTTAGTGCCTAGAAATAGGGATGGTTTGATCAACACTTTTATGCTTGATGATGTAGCTTGTGGCAGTAAAATCCAAAAGTTCCCCTCATGTGAATTGGAATAATTGATGTATACACAGTCACACCACTACTCATGATTTAAAAGCCACCTATTATTAGCTTGTTATGTAACTTAATTAAACATACAAAACAGAACATAAGAATCTTTCTGAATCATACCAATATTTATTTAATCTGGGATCTTGTTTCTCTCAAAGTAATCATGAAAGTATATCTATTGGAAGCTCACAATTTGAACAGGATAATAGCCCTCTCCTGTGTTGTTTTTTCCCCTTCCCTTGCGACTGGTAATCAGATACATGCACTACATAGTCATTGATAGCCTTAACTTATATAATTTTGTGTAACCCTCTTTTGAAATGGAAACAACATGGTGGCTCAGCAGGTAAAACACTGGGCTTATTGGCTGAAAAGCCAGCAGCCATGTTCAAAAACAGCTCCTGTCTTTGTTCCAGTTCCTGCTAAACTAGCAGTTTGAAAGCATGCAAACACGAGTAGATAAATAGGTACCACTTCAGTGGGAAGGTAGCAATGCTCTGTGATGTCATGCTGGCTAGTTCAGCCTGGAAATGTTTTTGGACAGTGCTAGTTCAATGGCTTTGAAATAAAGATGAGCACTGCTCCCTATAGTCGGCAATGACTAGTGGAATAAAATCCGCTGGAACTCCTCTTTTGAAATGGCTATACTATTTAGGTTTAATAATATAAAGGCTTTCCTTTTAAAGATGATGAGTTCTATAGTTGCACAGTGCTTCTATAGTATTCTAAAATGAGGCTTGGAAGTAGGTAGGAGCATGAATGCAGTATTCATTGGTGACTCATTAAAGCAAGTCTTTTTTCAGGATCTGTTTCCACAGTAGCCACATAACTCTGGAAACAGATGCACTTGCTTTAATGAGTGACTATAAAGGTTGTATTTGTGCTCTTGTGGATTCCAGTGCATTTTTTTTTGTACTAAATCCAAAACACTTTGGAGTCCTCTGTGACACCTCTATTTCAAATAATGTAATTGGCTGCTCATCTATCTTCTGTAAATAATATAGGTTTAGGTATTATATATATCTGTGTTGGAGTGGACAAAGAGGATGCTCATGCAGTATCTGGATGTGATTGTATATAACTATTTCTTGCTCTTCTGATTTCTTTCCTTTTTCTGAGAAATCCTTCTACCATTTCTCATTTAATTTTAATTTCCCTAACATAGTGAATATTTTTAACAATCTTTGCAACATTTTTTTTTCCAAAAAACTAACCTATTTCAGAACACATTATTTATTGGTTTATTTATTAATTCATGAATTCAAAACCCATTAAATATTTGGTCCAAATATGATTTAGTTGGCATTTTTTAATTACTGAATTTCTGTTACAGCATTTTTCTTCAGACTAAATTGGCAAAAAAACTTTTGACTTTCTTCTTTTAATAATACATTGTATTTACCATACTTTTCGGAGTATAAGACACACCGGAATATAAGACGCACCAAGGTTTTGAAGGGGCAAATAAAAAAGTTTTTGCACTCTGCACACCTCCAAAAAACAGCCTGTTTTCATGAAAACAGGCCTTTTTTTTTCCAAAAGCGGGCATGAATAGCCTTTAGGAGACTTTTAGAATGCTCCTGGGGGGTGCCTTCCCCCAAAATGAGCAAAACATGGCCCCTTTTTCACAAAAATGGGCCCATTTTTTGTCAAAAAAGGGCATGCATAGCCTTTAGGAGGCTTATAGAGTGCTCCTGGGGGCTAGGAGGGGCAAAATTGAGCAAAAAACAGGCCATTTTTTGCTCATTTCTGCCCTTCTCAGCCCCCAGAAGCACTCTGCAAGGCTCCTAAAGACTATGCACGGCCATTTTGGTGAAGAGCCAGAGTTTTTAGAGGCAAAAAATGCTATATTCAGTGTATAAGATGCATCCAGATTTTCAGCCTCTTTTTTGAGGGAAAAAGGTGTGTCTTATACTCTGAAAAATATGGTAGTTGAAATCCATGCTAAAAAGATATCATTTAAAATACTGTACTCTTTAAAATATTACTATGGATTATATACAATCTTACTGACATTTTAACAAACACTGCAGAATCTATATTTTGGTGCCATCTTGCCATCAGGTTATTTTTTATGCTTTGTATTAGACAGTAATGTTAGTTTTCCTGAGGGCTCTCTAGGATATTGCATTTACTTTAATCTGACTAAATAGATTGTCCTTTCCAGGGACAGAGCCATCCTGCTTCCCACATCAACCTTGCCTAGAGAGAAGAATATTTAGAATAGGCAGGAGCTCTTGAGCTTGGCTATATTTTAAATTAGTAAAAGTTGTAAAGTGAATTTGGCTTCCCCATTGACTTCGCTCGTTACAAAAGGTGATCACGTGACCCTGAGACATTGCAACTGTTATAAATATGAACCAATTGCCAAGTGTTCAAATTTTGATCACATGACTATGGGAATGCTACAGTGGTTGTCAGTTTGAAAAATTGTCATAAGTCACTCTTTTCATTGTTGTAACTTCAGACAGTCACTAAATAAGTTGACAAAGTCAGTACTTAGAATCTAAATCTAAATCTAAATTGAGTTTATATAAAATATTTAATGTTTATTATTCTCTATTTAGCTTCTGCAAGTCTTGGTAAAAACATCTAACAATGAATGTTATCTAAAATTGTAGATTCACTTAGAAAAAATCAAAATAATCTAATAGATTGTATTTTGAATTTAGGAATAAATCCATGTTAGTAATATAGAGTAAATAAAAATGTTTGCATAGAGAACATACCTAAATAGTAACTGTTCCTTCCTGTTTGTATTTGTATAGTAATAATGTTCTATTATATGTCTCTGAAATTTCAGTGAAACCAAATCTATCATATATGCATAATATTGCATCATATAATTTTTATTTATTATATAATATCTTATTTTAAGATTGCCAAGTTTCATGCTTTGACTGTCCTTCCGACTACTTAGATAAATTAGACAATTGCTTACTTGTTTTCTTTAAAATAAAACAATTAAGGAGATCAAATTTGAGCTGTTGCTTTTTAAGACTTGAACATGAACTAGAAGAACTGAAAACAAACTGGGATTCTCAAGTAGCTCAGATATCCAAAGAGACCGTTTCCAAGAATTTACAGATTCAAGCACAGCAAGAAGAAGTAGTAAAGCTAAAAGCAGAGGTGGTTGCCTTAAATCAAGATATTGAAAGGTGAATTATTTTTCCTATTAAACCTTTGATTTTTCAAAAAGTTTATTGATAATTAATCTTGGGTTATACCACTATTGGACTGCCTTTGACCTGCAGGTTTTCCCAGGAGAGGTGTGTGCTGGCAGAGTAAAAAAATCAAGATGGAAGCTACGACTTATACAATTGAATCTTTTTTTTCTGTGCATGTGATGACGTGTGTTGAAAAGGGATGGGCTTACAACCTTATCTTTTCTTAACCTGCATGGATGCCTCTCCCCTCCACCCAGCATTACATTTTCTACCATCCTGTATCTTGAAATTGATCCACAGAATCTTGGTGACAAAATGGATGAATTTCAGCAGTGCCATTTTTTTCTCCTTAAGAATTAAGTATGGCAATCAGAATAGTTTGCCAGAGGCTTCCTATTCCCTTCCCAATTGTAGCCCTCTGCAAAAAGATCCTGCGAGTGACATTTTTCAAATCTAAAAGGAGCCCGGGGGTGGGAGGGAAGGTTTCCAATGCTCCCTGACAGATTCGTACAAACTCAGTGGGGAAGCCAGCAAAAAGTTAGAAGTCCCTTGCTTTTTTAATCATCCTTGGTCATTTTGTTTCTCTTGTTTAGGTCAGGAAATACAGTGTCTCTGAAACAGAGACCCAATGGGACACTGGTTGTTTAGTTAATGCTATATGCCAGAGAACTCAAGAGATGAAATGAGAACACTAAGACTCATTGCTTTCATTATGTCACGCCCTGCTTCTACATTCTGGTGTTTTTCCTCTCTTAAAACAATAGAGTTGTAAGGTCAAAGAAAGTTATGCTGGACATGCTGATTACCATTAGCTGGTCAACCTCAGAAAACTTCAGATATGCTATGAACACAATTAATCAAGAGTTGGTCAGCTAAGTGCTATGATATTAAATTTGGGAATCACTTGCATGATAATGTCATCAAGGGTGAATAGGGTCATTCCATGTCAAGTGGTCTGAGGCTCCCTGCTTGACCATCTCGGATTTCAATGAAATTTGGTGTGTACATGAACACATGTCACCAATGAACATTCGTAAAGTGTTATATTTGCCGATACAATAATTGCAGAGATATAGTCATTTGTTTGACCCCATACCACAGCCTTCTACAGTATGACTCTGAGGTTTCAGCAACTTTCAGCAATAGGCTAAAAATAACCTATTTTTGGTGTTTTTACAAAAAATGGCAACTTTACACTCAATTTGTGAAGTATTGGAAAGCAGTGGGAGCATGAAATGTTGTTTTCAAAAACCTTGTGTTGCTAAATTATTAAGCACAAAATTTCACATTTCTCATACCTTTCCTTCCAGAGATATAAAAAGCCAAACTTTAACCTTTTTTTCATTTTCGGCCAACTTTGCTCCAACCTATCTAGATGGAAATCGCTCATGAGAATGTGTTTATTATTTTGTTAAATAGAGCACAAAAAGTTGTACAACATGGCCAAGTTTTTTTCTCTCAACAAAATATTGCTGAAGAGATTATGTCTCAAAGTTGCTGAAACCTCAGTCATACTGTAGAAGGCTGCGGTATGGGGTCAAACAAATGACTATATTGCCGCAAGTATTGCATTGGCAAATGCAACACTTTACCAATGTTCATTGGGGACATGTGTATATGTTCACAACAAATTACATCAAAATCCATGATGGTCAAACAAGGCACTTTTCTGAAATCAGATCACTTGACATGGAATGACCCAATAAGGACATCTAGAAGGCTATGTGAGTAGCTGTGATATATGGGATAGAAAGTCAGTCTAGATTTGAATAAACACAAGTTTTTAATCCTACTGAGCCATGAAGCAGGCAGGATAACCTTGGATGACTCACTGCACTTCAGCTTAACTAGTATCTCAGAACTGCTGTGATGTTATAATGATGGATGAGTGGAAGAACCCATGTAAACTACCTGGAGTTTACATGGAGAAGAGATTGTGCAACAAGCAAATAAATTGCTGTTTTGTTCAGAAAAAAAGCTTCAAACCTTTTATTGAACTTTCACACTTTATATAGTATACACTGTCTTTTAGCTTTACCTAAATGCAGATTCAATTTTTGTGTGTGTATTTCACAGCAGTGCCATATTTTTGCAACATTCCATTTTCTTCCATATTTTATCTACATGAATGTTTCTGTATTTTGTCTTTTCATTTCAGTTTTGAAAGTTTATGTTATTTGGTATACTATATGTTTCTCACTATCAATAAAAGTATAAGATTGTTCTTTTAAAAAAATAAACTTAATGAGTGATGCAAGAATTTTTTCCAGTTTGCAAATAGATTTAAGTCATTAATTTTCACCTTGCAAGTTCAGTTGCTACTGGACTGGAATAATATGTGTTAGTGAACAACTGTTTTAAAGGGTTTCTTAAATGCATCATTCTTATAGCATTGTAAACGTTAACTTCTAAATTAATATTTAAGTAATGTCTTTTCTTCCCCTTGTATTAGATATAAGCAACAGCTTTCACTTGAAATAGAGAAAGAAGAGAGTTTGGAAAGAGCTAAAGTGCAAGGAGAGCTGGAATGGCAGCGGCGATGTGAGAATGCTGAAAGGAATCAATATCATAAATCAGAGGCTCTGATACAGAACCTGTCAACAGCTAGGGACCAGGTCAGCATTTCTAGCAGCTAAGCAGAGGGTATTAACAGAGACATATTTCATGATGGAATATTTGATGTTTTAATGAAAAGTTTAATACTTCTTTGCTTCTAACAAATACGTCAGATGTTCCATCTTACTGACAGGATTAGTGCTTTCTCACTGTAATTTGTTCAGTCTGCTTTGACCTGTAGCCGATGATTTGTTTTTTAATAATTTATATATACTTGTAGGCAACACTGCTAGATTTCAATTTAAGAGTTGAAAACACTTCCCAGCAAGATTGTCTACAGATATGAGTAGAGCATCATTTTGATTAGTATCAAAATGTTGCGATCTGCCAGTGGCTTGCGGAGCTGGCAGCAGATTCGGACAGCGAGGAGGTTGGGGAGGAACATGGACCAGTCGTGGAGTCTGGGGAAGGCTCGGACGAGGGCTCTGCATCGGAGGCAGAGACGGGGCCAGGGCCATCTGGGAGTTTTGTGTTGCCTCCAGAGTCGGACATTAGCAAGGCAGAGGAACAGGCTCCCCCTGTTCCCAATGCATGCATGCGCAGAGCTACCAGAAGCAAGAACAGTTGAGACAGAAGGGATGACTTGGGAGTAAGGCTTGGAGGTGATTGGCCCCTCCCATAGGACATAAAGGTCGCTTTATATTCTGAAGCTCCATTTTGACTCTTTGCTCCATGTGGCCTAGCCAAGCTAATTGTCAATTAGGTCTTTGGCAGCATTTCAAGGAAGATAAAGGTGGGTGCTTAGCAACCTTATTTCAAAAGATTTTGGCAGCCTACTGTCAGACTCTTTAAAAACTATTTGGGACTCATTACAGGCTGTGAATGAATATAATTCACAACCTTTAAAATAAAAAGTATTTTTGGGATTAAGTGTCTGCTTTTTACTGTATCAGGAAGCCTACGTCAGAATAACTAGTTAAAGAAAATTTCAGCTTAGTTGGTTTACAGCTTTTAAGTAGCAAGACCTGTTCAATGCTAGAAATGAGTCTTTTTCTCTCCACCTATATTCTGTTAAAAATAGGTCCAAATTGAAATAGATGTTGGAACTTGAAAAGCAATAGCTGCTGACAGTGAGCCATTTCCATAATTAAATGAGAGCAACTAAAAATATAGTGTGATGTCAGAACCTAGCTTTATTTTTATTAATTTATTTTTATATTATGAGCTGCCCAGTATCATCTGTAGTTGGGTGGCGCCTACTCTGAATAAATTAATTAAATGACATTTATTAATTTAAATAAAATTAATTTATTAACAACATCTTACATTTCTGTAAGAATCAAACATACTATCCATAAAAAGCATAAGCTCTACACTGACCACAAAAATCTGGTATGAGAATAAACAGCACTACCATTATTCATCATAAATTAAACTGTGTAAAAGCTGTTTGACTACATTAAAGGACAGGAGTCAAATTCAGAGCATCACAGCGTCATCATGTGATGTATCACAACTTTTTCCCCTTTGCTAAACTTTGGGTGTGGGTGTGGTCAGCGCATGACGCATCCGTCCAGCCAGCCATGAGTTTTACACTCCTGCTCTAGAGTACAGTTAGCGGGAACCCTATTTGATCCTCCAAAGGCTAACATTTCCATATTAATGCCTAAATACCTAAATAGAATTTTCTAAAAAGGTACCTAGAAGCCTTCTGATAGACCCGTGATGGCAAACCTATGACACGTGTGACACAGGTGGTACGCGGAGCCCTCTGCGGGCACGCAGGCCGTTGCTCCCACTGGCCAGCTGATTTTAGGGTTTACCCTGCAGGCGGGAGACGCACGTGCGTACCTCAATTTCTGCAGCCTGTGCCTTCCCAGATCTCCGGAGATTCCCCCCCACCCCGAACTATTTTGAGTTGTGAAGGGAGGCTTCTTAAAACAGTGCTGAGGTGGGAAAAAGGTGTCCCATCCCAAAACAGCACTGAGAGGAGAAAAAGCCCTTCTTTTCCCCCACTCAGCGCTGTTTCCGAAGAGAGGATTTCCCCCTTCTCAGCACTGTTTTGGGACGGGAGGCTTTTTTCTCCTCCCCAACGCTGTTTTGGGATGGGAGGCCAAAAGGAGGCTGCACATGCAATCTGCGGGGCGAGCAAGGGGGGGTTGTGCACGCATGCGCAGGGGGTGAGGGGAGCATGGGAGTGTCACATGTGAATGTGCAGGGGGTGGGGTGCATGGGAGGGGCATTGCATTATGGGTGTGGGCACACGAGCATGCACGACAGTGCACACGTGCTTTCGGCACCCAAGGAAAAAAAGGTTAGCCCTCATTGCAATAGACCATGCATTATCTTCAAACCTGGTGTTATAACAGCTTTGGCAACTCTCATGCTGTATGTTTTGCCACTATATTCTGCACCAACTGCAGCTTCCATGTGGTCTGCCAAGTCAGCCTATATGTAGTTCATCACGGTAGTCAAATTGGAGAATGGTAAGGCCAACAGTAACTTAGCAGAGTACTTTGATCTAGACAGGCCTGAATTTTTTTTCCTACATAGGTCTTTCTGTAGGATTTGGGATTGAATTTAATTTTACTCCAAAGATTAAATTTTATGTATGTACTGATAGTCCTCCACTTGTGATCATCAGTGAGCCTAGAATTATGGTCATGTGTTGTGGTGGTCATTAAGCAGGACGCCACCTGACCATACTTAGTTTCATGACCTTTTGTGCAGCATTTTAAGTGAACCTGTTTTAATGATGGGAATTTTTTTTTGTTAGAAACTGGAAGTAAATGATGCAAAGCAGCAAAAAATATATATGCTGAAAATCACAATTATGTGACCATAGAATGTTGCAAATGGTTGTAAATGTGAGTCACTTGCCAAGTGCCCAAAATGCAATCATGAGATCAGGGGGCACAGCTGTCAGAATTCTGGAAGCGTTTTATAAGTAACTCTGGGGAGGTCTGTTGAATGATCACCAAGTGAATGGTCATTAAGTGAGGATGACCTGTAATGGGATATTAGATGTACAAGAAGATAAAAGTGAATCTTTCAAAAACTCTTCTTCAGTCGCTTTAACTTTTTTATAGGCTACTGCTGCACTAAAAGAAAAGGAAGAAAAATTGCATGGATTAGAGGTACTGTTGTCTACTGTAGCTGTTGAAAGAGACCAAGCTTGTCAACAACTTCGCTTGCTAAAAGAGAAACAGGTTGGAATTACTTAACATTATTTATTGTATAGCTAAAGTTATAGTCAGTATTATTCTGTGGGAGAAAACTAATATTTAATCAAACTATTTGATTGCACTAATACAGAAATTTGTTGCATATTTTTCATTAAAATTGCATTACACATGACAAAATACTTTCATGAAATAATTTCCATATAAAATAGATTGTCTTTTTTATATCTGGATATACAAATGGTTTGCTGCATACTCAGCCATGCAGGTGGCACCATGTTAAATTGGCTAATATTGTACTTTAGAAGACAAAATCAAAATTCAAATGAACTGGACCAAATCCAAGAGAATAATACCAATTTTGATAAGAATAAAGATGTACAATATATCTGGTTTGAAAAATTCAAATCTATAGGCAGTTCTTACTTATTAACCCTAATTGGATCTGGAATTTACGTTGATAAAGCAAAATGGTCATCCATCCTTTTAGCCTTACAAAGCAGTCTGAAAACCCTGCTTTGCCGACTGTCTTAGGGCCCCTATTGGAGTGTCCCAGTTTGGAAGTGGTTAGTAGACTAGGACAAGATCTCATGTCTACCCTGTCTCTGTGTCGGTTCTTTTTATCTGTTTTAATATTAAATGTTTTAATTTTTAATGTCTAATGTCTTAATACTGTACTTGTTTTAGTCATTTGTGACATTCTAAGCTGCCCAGTGTTGCTTGGTAGAGAGATGGGCAGCATATTAATTAAGTAATTAATTAATTAATTAATTAATTAAATGTGTTGAGTTCCAACCGAGCAACATACAGGGGAAGGAGAATTCATTTATACAAGCCTGGCAAGATGAAAAAGGCTTCTCTTTGTCTTCCTCTGTCTCTCTCAACCTTCTTCATCTACCACCTTCGTCAGAGCAGCCATTTAGCAAGCACTGACTCTTCAGGCACATATAGACTCTAGAACTGCAGTTTGTTCACAAGGAGGCTAGTGTTTTCCTTCACCACAAATCCCATGTAATGGGGGTTTCAAGGCCCAGGGGCCGGATCCGCCTGCGAGATGCTTAAATCTGGCCTGCGGGGCTAGCCTGCAAATAGCAAAGGACCAGTCTGCAGTGCCTCTGGCAGCCAAAATGGGGTGTGGACGCCACGGGGGTCCCCCATGCCCCGTTTTCAGCTTGAATGGCCTCCTGCAGCACTCTGCTGGCCAAAACAGAGGCGGGGGGGGCACACGACTCCCCATGCCCTGTTTTAGCCAGCAAAGTGCTGCAGGAAGCTGTCCAGGCCAAAAACATTTGCTTTCCCATCTCCCATTCCCCCCCCCCCCCGTTGTTGTCCCCAGTCAGCCCGCAGAGGAGAACTACAATGATCCGGCACTCAAAGAAATCCAGATTGAAACCCCTGCTGTAGAAGAACTAATAAAATCTTTACAATGCAAGACATGTATACTTTGGGGGCAGTTGTCTATGTTTTCTAAATATAAAACTGTTCATATGATCTTGAAAATCCTTTAATCCTTAAGGAGAACTCATACTCTGGGAATGCAGATTTGCAATTGTATTTTGTAAGAGGAAAAAGGAATTAGATATATAATACTGTTTTTGACTGCTGGAAAGCATTTCCTGCTTTTAGGGAATTTGCATGAAGCCAGGAGCCTCACTGGAAAGAAAACAATAGCAAGTTATTCCCAACATTTCTTCTCAGGCAGTTACTTATTTAATCATTACTAGCAATGATGTTATTTATATTATTTATAGCTTTATTTACAGTATGTTGCTTTCATAGTGATTCTATGGAAGCTTTCAGCTTAAGCACTGAGGTTCTTCAATTGGCCAAATGAAATAATGCATTTAAAATAAAGAAAAGAAATGGATGATAAATAATACAAAGTGAAAAAGGTCAAGATAACTGAAATAAAACTTTTCCAAATTATTACATTAAAAAGATCTTCAAGCATTTTAAAGATTCAGTGTCTAATTCTAATAACATATAATGCTGGCAAAGTGTAGCAGCAAATTGTGCTGCTGAATTTTGATAGCAACTAAGGAGGGAGCTCCGGAGAAGACACAATAGCATTGGGAATTGATTGGTGACTGTGGGTTAGCCATCCGTAGGCTAGATAATTGCTTGCTTCCGCTATTTTTAGGCTTACATCAATATGGCATTGTGGCTACCTTTGAAAGGTTTTATATTTCCTGAAAAAAGCTGGATAAAAATAACATTTGATTATTTGTGGAGTCATTTTCACTACTCTTTGTCCTTGAAGATTGTCTTGCATGGGTAACTGGCTTTTAACAGTTTATGATATAGAACCAGAAATAGAAGTAGTCCAATAATTCTTTGCAAATTTTTCCTTTTAAATCATTTAGTAGATAAAGCTAGTTAGCTATGAGGTAACACTTTTCTCCCAAGAACAGTGGAGAGCAAACATATTTCCCTATGCATGAATCTTTATAAGCTGCTTTTTGAGGAATTGCTTAGTCATTTCTTCTGAATAAAAACACTGTTGTGAAATGATGATGGTACCTTTATTCTCAGGGAGATTTTCTGTGGATATGTATGATGTCCATCAGAAGGAAGATCAATGCAAAGAATAACTGAACTATTTTATGGGATAAGGAGGATTACTAGAGAAATATGGTACAATAATTAGATACAAAAGGCCAATAAATATTACACAGTGAAAAAATATATATTAGCAATTAAAACACAGAATTATAAAGTTGAAAGGGGTTATTTAGACCAGTGTTTTTCAACCACTGTGCCGTGGCACACTAGTGTGCCGTGACATAGTGTAAGGTGTGCTGTGGGAAAATTACTTTATATATAGTCAATATAGGCACAGAGTTAAAAAATTTTAACATTTTCTAATGGTGGTGTGCCTTGTGATTTTTTTCATGAAAAAAGTGTGCCTTTGCACAAAAAAGGTTGAAAAACACTGATTTAGACCAAGATGTTTAAACTTTTACTCCAATTTCAAACATCCTTGACATTTGCTTTTGCTTGAACATGTTTAATAAATTGTTTCTTGGCCTTTTTGGTTAAGATCAAGTATACTATATATATATACTAATGAATAACTCAGTCTTCCTATGCAACCAGTTTTACTGTTACAAGGTTATAATTAGGGCCTTAAGACCTAAAGAACAGACTGATATTCTTTGTATTAGCTCTTCAGTGCTTAAAAAAATGCTATGATATATCCTCTCAAGCATCTTAAGATTAAATGTCAATTTTTAAAATCATCAACCATAGTACTATGATGTGTATATGGTGGGGGGAAGTTTCCAAAATCTGTAGTTGTGTGAATTTTTTGTTGGAACCAGTCAAAGTGACATGAGGGTGTAACAGCTTTCACATGTAAGATAAAAATCTAACACATTAACATGATTCATTGGTTTTTTATCCATGTGATGTAAGATGTCTCTTTTTAATTATGAAACTCACACAAAACAAGTTTTGTGTAAGTACTTAACACTGCTCTGTGTTCTCAAAATATTATTACCATTTCCAAGTGTTAAATCAGATTTAAGCTCTTCACAGCATATGAATTACTGAGAAATATTATTGTATTGCTGAAACTTGCCAATGTTTCTGATACTGTATTTACTTTTGCCTTTTAGAGAAATATTTTTTCATTGCTAACAGCCATTCCATATATACTATCAAAAATATTGAGACTGTTTTGAATCTTAAAAAAACCTTATGCTGCACTCTAGTGGTTGCCCACTATTTATTGTTCTAAAAAGAGTATCTTCTTTGAAATGAGTTCAGAAGTGGAGATTGAAAAAAAAAAACTTAGTTACATAATTTTTAGACAGAGAAGGTCATCTAAGAAAATGATAAATGATGTTTCAGGATTGAAAATGTACTGCTGATGTACACTTGGAAAGATACACTAATATTTAAGTATACGGACTTTTGTTTAGATTTCATTCACAACTTAAATTTTCATTGCAGGTAGTCCTCAATTGAATTCATTCAATGATTATTTGAAGTTACAACAGCGCTGAAAAAAATGGACTTACAACTTGTGTCTCAGGTTACGGCTGTTGCAGCATCCCACAGACATAAGATCAACATTAGGGCATTTGGCCCACACCTAACTGTCACAGAAGTTCTGCAGCTCCCTTTTTCTGCCTATCTCTTTCCCAATCTGTGACCTTTTTGCTGCACTGTACAACAGCACCCAAAGGGCAGCAATGAGGCTGAAGTAGAGGTCAGTCTGAGAAATATGATCAACCACCTCAGCATCTCAGCACTGTTCTTCAAAGCCCCAATTTCCCCCACCATCCTACGCTTCACAGATTCTGTTGTGCCCCACTGACCCCACTGTGCCCCGCCTCACCACCTCATATTATTCTCCCAGCCAGTATCCCATTCTCACAGTCCTTCAGAAACCTTCTGGTCATCTCCAAGTCAGAAAAATGGGACGCTGGCTTGGAGAACTGCAGGAGCCCTGCTTCAGAAATCTCATTCACCAACCTGTATTCAGAAGATTTCTGAAGCACTGCTGGGCTAGGCGGGCAGCTGAGGCTTTACACTTCATTACAGCAATCCCCACACATGCATACCCTGTGCTAAGGCCTTCCATGGTCTCACCACCCTCTTTTGGCAGTCCTGCACTCCTTACCTGGGACTCTGTACATGTAACAGCCCATGATTCTCACTTAATGACTGCAGCTAGGAATGCTGGGATTGCAGTCACTAAGCGAAGCTGTCACAGAACATCTTGTTTAGCCACTTTGCTTAGTGAACAAGATTCTGATCCTAATTGCAGTTTTAAGTTGAGGACTACCTGTACTACTGTGTGTATGTTTATATATACTGTATGTGTTGTGTGTATGTGTATATATACTGTATGTGTGTGCTTATATATGAGTAATAAGTAGCTAAAACAGTTCCGCAGATATTTTTTAAGATTATTAACTATACTGTTCATTTTTTGATGCATATGGCATGTCATTAGAATGATTTTACTGGTAATTTTGCTATATACTGAGCTTGCTTCTTTGAATGACTTATTCTATTCTGGAGGGAGGCAGTTTTGATAATTTCCTTAATTTCTTGATTATCCACAGGGTATGGTAGGAGTTTCTGAACATCTTCCTCCTGCTGATATCCAGACATTACAGCAGCAGAACAATATCTTGAGGTCTGTTATTGCAGAAATGAGAAAAGAAATGGAGACCCTTAATTATCAGGCAGCTTCCTTTGATGACATCAAAATGAAAATGCAAAATGCAGGTATAACTAATTCTGCTGTAGTTTTATTTCCTCCTGATAATAAAATGGATTTAATTTACTGACAAAGGTCTCTATCTATATATCTAAAAATGGCTGTGTGTATGTTCCAACATAACTCTGGAATTCCTTGAGCAATTTCAAGCAAACTTGGTACACAGATGACTTGCTCTCTGGAAACAAATACTGTGGGGGTAAGACACCACAAAGCTCTTGAGGGTGGGTGGGTGTTCTATTAAGATACAGCCTTTTATGCCTTAAAATAGCTTCTACTGTACTTTCGTAAAATGGCTTCTACTGTAAAGCTCAGTGGAGTTGCCATGGTAATGACTTCACAGTACTTCACAAGGGGGTTCCCTCTGGTAAGGGGGAAAATCCAACATTAGAAATTATATTTGGTCCGGGCACTTTCCCCTTATAAACAAATACCTAGGCAACGCCGGGTTATCAGCTAATATTTTATAAGTGTGGTCTCCTTTAGCAAAAGCTTCTTTTGTATTTTTGGAAGATTTTCTTATTTTTTATTTTTGGTACTGTGATGATTCCTGACAATGTCTATGCAGAGTTTTTGGCAAGATTTTCCTTCATAGGGCTAAGAGAGGTCACCCAGCTGGCTTCGTGCCTAAGGCAGGTCTAGAATTCAGTCCTGATATCTTGGTCACTACACCAAACTGACTCTCTCTTATGTTTACATTTTTCTAAATATTTATATTCTCCGAGGAATGTCTATGACTAAAGCATACTACAGATGATTAATTAGCATTTCAGTCTCCAATTTTGAATCCAATTTGTGGTGATCCAATCCATCACCATAGGCTGAGATATATATTGTATGCTGATGACACCCAACTCTATATTTCCACTCTTGGTGACCCAAGTGATGCCATGGCTGTCCTTTCATTGTGCGTGGAGGCTGTGAGGGTCTGGATGGGGGCAGGGGGAAGCAGCTTCAATTGTACCCTGGTAAGATTGAATGGCTTAGGGTACATGAGGATCTGGGATCTTGGACTTTGTCATCTTTGACTCTGGATGGGATTGCACTGCCACAGAAAGACCCAGTCCACAACTTGTGGTTTGTCCTGGACTTGCAACTTGTGTTCGAGGAACAGGTAGCAATCGCAGCTAGGAAAGCCTGTGCACAACTTTGTGCTGTGTGTCACTTGCAGCTTTTCTTGGACCAAGATTCTCTGCCCTCAGTTGTTCAGTCCCTAGTCATCTCACAACTGGACTATTGAAAAGCGTTCAGAAGCTACAGCTGGTGCACAGTGCAGCAGCGTGAGTAGTTTTGGGGCCCCCAAGAATGGCCCCTATAGCACCACAGCTCCATGAATTGCATTGGCTACAAGTCTGCTTCCAGGTGCAATTCAAGGTGTTGGTGATCACCTTTAAAACCCTTCATGGCATGGGTCCAGGTTACTTGAGGGATCGTCTCACCCTACTGGGATTCGCCTGTACCACTCATGCCAGCAAAAGAGGCATGCTGCGGATTCGTTCAGCCCAATTTTTCTAACTGGCATGTCCAGGAGGAGGGCTCTCTCTGCTGTTGCTCCTTCTCTCCGAAATATCTTTCCTCCCCAATGTGAGGTTGGTCCAATCCTCCTATCTTTTCATAAGGGCTGAAAGACATGGCTCTACCAGTCGACTTGGGGCTGCAATGGGGGAAAAGCACAATGGAGGTGGTTGATTGAGTAATAACAGATCCTACCTCTTTCCCACTCTACTCCCGCCCACCCCATGTGTCCTTGGTTTTAAGGTTTGGTTTTAACTTTTTATGTTTTAATTTAGATGTAATTGTAAGCCACCAACAATTACCGTGCCCTATAGCAAGATGAGCAGCCAATAAATTTTATAAATTAAACAACAAACAAACATTTTCCATATTATTACAGAGAATAGTTAGTACTTTAACTATGTCTTCTCTTGTAACTTTAAACAGTTTAGTGAATATTTATCTTTCCATGGTGCTCTGTATTGCCTTTGAACATGACTTTCTAATGGAAGGATTCCTGAATATATATATTCCCTCTGCAAATGTTACCATAGCTCTTCAAGGATTTTTTCCTCATAGATTAGGGGTACTTAATCTGTTCCTTACATTGACCCCCATATGCTAAATGTATGTTCTCCAGCTCATATCTTTTTAAAATTTTAACTTATACCATATAATTAATTCCAGTAATTTTGATCAGTGCTGAATAGATTGATTTTTTACCTCTGCAGCTTATTATTATGTAGACATTATTATTATGTGGCTTCCGTGTACAAAGTCTGCATTTTGTTTCTAACAGCAATAAAAAGCAGTTCTATTTGTAAAACTCTAAAAACATAGAATCCCAGGCCTGGAAGGGACCTTTGAGGTCTTCTAGTCCAACTCTCTGCTCAAGGCAGGAGACCTTATACTATTCTGGACAAATGGATGTCCAATCTTTTCTTGAAAATCTTCAGCAATGAAGCACTCACAATTCCAGGAGTAAAGCTGTTCCATTGATTAATTGTTCTCACTGTCAGGAAATTTCTCCTTAGTTCCAGGTCAGCTCTCTCTGATGAGCTTCCACCCATTGCTTCTTGTGTCACTCTCAAGTGCTTTAGAGAATAAGTCAACCACTTCTTCTCTGTCACTACCCCTCACATACTGGAAAATAGCCGTCATCTCATCCCTAATCTTTCTCTTCCTTAGACTAAACATACCTAATTCCCTTAACCATTCATTGTAAAGTTTAGCCTCCAAACTCCTTGTCATCTTTGTTTCTCTTCTCTTCACTCTTTCTAGGATCTCAGCATCTTTTTTGTATCATGGTGACCAGAACTGGATGCAATATTTTAAGTGTAGTATAGTGCAGTATAGAATGATACTATCACTTTTCATAATCTTGATACTATCACTCTGTTGATGCAGCCTAGCATGTTTTCGCAGCTGCAGCACACTTCTAGTTCATACTTAAGTGGCATAGTCCCCTGGGACATCTAGATCGCTTTCTAATTACTATGGTTAAACCAAGTAATGCCTATACTATAGCTGTACATTTAGTTTTTCCTACATAAGTGCAGGACCTTATTTTTCTCATCACTGAACTGCATCTTGCTGGGTAGGGCCCAATACTCAACTTTGTCAAGATCTTTCTGAATCTTGAGTCTATCTTCCAAAGTGTTAGCATTTCCCACATGAGCTCCCCTTCTATCTCCCCCCCCCCAATTCTTAGGAGCAAATATTAAGATCCTCACGTAGTCATGGTCATTGAAACTGCCTCCCTCCAATCAAAGTATTACTCCACACTTGCGAGAATATATGCTTATCATTTGCAACAATATTAAAGTCTCTTCTTAAGATGAGATTTAAACTATTCAAATCCAACCCATCTGCTGTTGGCAATAAAATTAAAATTATAGTTATTCAGTGCCTACCGAATTCCATGTTATTATTTATCTCAATTTCATACATGTACATATATTCTATTTCATATAAAACAAGAAGTATTATAAGCTTCTTGGTAGCCTGAAATTTAAAAAAAAAATCAAATTTCACTTTTTTTTTACTATGTGGAATTGAAATTGCTTCTGGAATCATTCTTCTTATCCTAATCTTTAAAAGAATACCAGCAAAAACTAATTTAGCCAGTTCCTAAAAACGAAAAAGAAATAAGAAAATTATTTTATAATATGAAGCTTTATATAAAAGTATATGTCTGATTAAGTTCTATCATATGTTAAAACTTGTAATTTATTTAATCATTAAGATACCATTACACTTTTATTACTTTTGCTGCAGCAGACCAATATTACTGCTGTTCCAGGAAAATATATATTTGATAATTTTTGGATATTTTTCTTTTAATTTATAAATGTAATCAGGCAATCATGTCTTGCAAGTTCTCAACCTAAAATGGGAATTTTTATTTTTGCAGACCATAAGCAGTTCCTGCAAGAGGAGATCAGAACATTGAAAAAAACACGTGAGGCAATAGACAAACAGAAAGAAAATGCAACAGAAGCTTCAAGAAAAGTACTTGTGCCTTCTCTTAATGTAACTAGATGTAATAAAGCTACTCAAACTTTCCATCTGGACTACTTTGTCAGTGGGAATGATGGTAAGGGAAATAAATTTCACATCTTCTATTATGTTATAATTCTTGCATTCTCGGAGGAAGATAAGAGCCATGCCAGAGGTTCAACATACTAGACAGGTCTCATCAAAGGAGCCAGGTGAAGAATGTCCCTCCTATAAACACTGTGGCGAAACATAACTTACAGAAATCTGTACTGGATTGGTCATCACCTGGGTCATCAAGGACCACACTAGGTGTTGGAGTTCCTGGACATCTGGGTGACAAGTGGCCCATAGGACTCAGGACTTTTGGCTGAGCAACTAGGGCCAGCGGCTACAGAACTACTTGAAGAAAAGTTGCTTACTAAAGAAATAAAAAAGTTGCTTACTAAAAAAATCAAAACTTGAAGAAAAGTTGCTTACAAAGAAATAAAAATTTCTATAACAAGTCAGGTCCAATGAAAAGAGGATGTCTGGAAAGAATTTCTGTCATCTGTAGATAAATTAGAATAATATACTGTTTGATTGTTTCAGTAAGTACATTTTCATTGTCACTGGATATAGCAATGAAGATTCTACCCCCCCATAGTTCAAACATGGTTCCAGTATGGGCAATTACAGGCCAGGTGGAAAATAGATCAAAAAATTGGTTTTATCCAAGTTG